TGTCCCACCCGATCAAGAATCTCAAACGGACCAATGAACCTAGGGCTAAGCTTGCCCTTCTTCCCAAATCTCATCACGCCCTTCATAAGCGATACTCGGAGCAATACCCGCTCACCAACCATAAATGCTACATCTCGAACCTTGCGATCTGCATAACTCTTCTGCCTAGACTGAGCTGAACGAAGCCTATCCTGGATGATCATGACCTTGTCCAAGGCCTCCTGAACCAAATCCGTACCTAACAACCGAGCCTCCACCGGCTCAAACCATCCGACTGGAGATCTACACCTCCTACCATATAAAGCCTCATACGGCGCCATCTGGATGCTGGACTGATAACTGTTGTTGTAAGCAAACTTCGCCAATGGCAAGAACTGATCCCAAGACCCTCCAAACTCAATCACACACGCACGGAGCATATCCTCAAGAATCTGAATAGTGCGCTTGGACTGTCCGTCCGTCTGGGGGTGAAATGTCGTGCTCAACTCCACCCGAGTACCTAGCTCCTGCTGCACGGCTCTCCAGAACCGCGATGTAAACTGAGTACCTCTGTCTGAAATAATAGAGATCGGAATACCATGCAGACGAACGATCTCCCGGATATAAATCTCCGCCAACCGCTCCGATGAATAAGTGGTACGCACAGGAATAAAATGAGCGGACTTGGTCAGCCGATCCACAATAACCCAAATGGCATCAAACTTCTTCAGGGTCCGTGGGAGTCCAGATACAAAGTCCATGGTGATGCGCTCCCATTTCCACTCCGGAATCTCTATCTGCTGAAGCAACCCACCCGGTCGCTGGTGCTCATACTTCACCTGCTGGCAGTTGAGGCATCTAGACACATACCCGACTATATCTTTCTTCATCCGCCTCCACCAATAGTGCTACCTCAAGTCCTGATACATCTTCGCGGCACCCGGATGGATGGAGTACCGCGAACTATGGGCCTCTGCTAAAATCAACTCTCGGAGTTTATCAACATTGGGCACACAAATCCGGCCCTGCATCCTCAATACCCCGTCATCTCCGATGGTCACATATCTGGCATCACCACGCTGGACCTTGTCCTTAAGGACAAGCAAATGAGGGTCATCATACTTCCACTCCCTGATACGATCAAATAGGGAAGACTGGGAAACTACACAAGCTAGAACCCGATTGGGCTCCGAAAGGTCCAATCTCACAAACTGGCTGGCTAAGGCCTGAACATCCATCGCCATGGGCCTCTCTGAAGCTGGTAAATATGCCAAACTCCCCAAACTCTCCGCCCGGCGACTCCAGGCATCCGCCACCACATTGGCCTTGCCCGGGTGATACAAAATAGTAATATCATAGTCCTTCAACAACTCTAACCACCTCCTCTGGCGCAAATTTAGATCCTGGTGATCAGTATAGATCTCACAAGGCACACCGTACAAATAATGACGCTAGATCTTCAAGGCATGAACAATAGCAGCTAACTCAAGGTCGTGGACAGGGTAGTTCTTATCATGTATCTTCAACTGTCTGGACGCGTAGGCAATCACTCTACCGTTCTGCATCAACACCGATCCAAGGCCAACCAGTGAGGCATCACAATAAACTGTATAGGACCCCGAACCAGTAGGCAATATCAAAATAGGGGTTGTAGTCAAAGCTATCTTGAGCTTCTGAAAGCTCGCCTCACACTCCTCTGTCCACTAAAATGGGGGACCCTTCTGGGTCAATCTAATCATAGGGGCCGCAATCGATGAAAATCCCTCCACGAAACGACGGTAGTAGCCCACCAAACCAAGGAAATTGCGAATCTCTATAGCTGAGGACGGCCTGGGCCAACTATGCACGGCCTCTATCTTCCTCGGATCCACCCGAATGCCCTCACTCGAAATTACGTGGCCTAAGAATGCCACCGAACTCAACCAAAACTCACATTTTGAGAACTTTGCATATAACTTCTTCTCTCTCAAGGTCTGAAGCACGGACCTCAGGTGCTGCTCATGATCTTCCCGAAGAAACTTGAAATGAAAATTGGTTAGAACATGTTGGTATCGGGCCCGTATTTTGGTTCCGGCACCCGATACAGGCCTTATGTATGAATTAAGCACTTTCTGTAAAGTTCGGGTGAGAACGGACGTCGTTCGACGTGTTTCGGACTTAAAATGGGAATTTGATGTTCTATGAAAAATTTGGAAGAAATCATGAGCTTTGAGGCTTGATTTGATGTATATGATGTTATTTTGGCGATTTGATCGCACGGATAAGTCCGTAGGATGTTTTTGAGGTGGTGTGTATGTTTGGTTTGGAGCCCCGAGGGCTCGGGAGAGTTTCGAGTAGGTCCCGGGATGCCTTAGGCTTAAAATACCAGATGTTGCAGGCTCAGGAAAATATTGCAGACTCTGAACCCTCCAGGGCGGTCCGCGAGAAATCGCGTGCGGCCGCGGAGGGGCCAGCGCGGCGGCGATCGCCTTTGCGCGGTCCGCGGTTGGTGCTGTGCGGCCGCGATCGCCTTTGCACGTTCCGTGGTGGGTGCTGCGCGGCCGCGGTCGTCTTCGCACAGTCCGCGTAGGGAAGTTCAGAGAACAGCAGGTCTTCAAGTAGGTCAGCGCGGCCACAGTCCCTTTTTGCGCGGTCCGCGCAGGGGATTTCCGAAGGGTATAAATAAACGGGAATTTCAGTCATTTTTCACTTTTCAAAAACCCAAAACATAAAAGGCGATTTTCCCAACGATTCTTCTTCTTCAAAACGATTGGTAAGTGACTTCTAACTCATTTTCTTCTTTCCTTAACATCTTTTAACATAATTTCAACTTCAAATCAAAGATTTTAATGGGGAAATTTGGGTATGTTGGGTAGAACCTAAGTTTTGCTAAAATTGGGGATTTGGACCTCAATTTGAGGTCCGATTTCAAAACAAATTACATATTTGGGTTCGTGGGGAATGAGTAACCGGGTTTTGGTTCGAACATCGGGTTTTGACCACGTTGGCTTGAGGGGCATTTTGGTCATTTTACCTAAATTCGCGTCTTAGCTTTAAATTACATAGTGGAATCAGTTGCTTGAGATGTTATTTACGAGATGTAATTGAAATGAATAGATTTGGGTCATTTGGAGTCGGATACTCGTGGCAAGGGTGTGGTTTCGAGTTGATTTTGCAGCCGGTTTAAGGTAAGTGGCTTGTCTAACCTTGTGTGGGGGACCTTTCCCCTTAGGATATGATATTTGGTAATTGAATGCCTTGTACGTGAGGTGACGAGCGCGTACTTGAGCTAATTGTTGAAAGCCGGTTTTACTTTAAATATTTAGACTGAGTTTCTTTCTTACCTGCTTTATTCTACTTACAATTATAGTCCGTGTTAGTCTAGAAAAGCATGCTTAGCTGACCTAAAATTGCCTATTTGCTTAAGTTGCCTGGATTGTACTACGTGAAGCATGTTAGGTTAGAACTACTTGTTGCCTTGTATTTCTTTTGCACTCTAGTTCTGAATATCTTCTTGTTGTGGCTGCGTATTTACATTGGGACTACGGATGTGGGATTCCGGTAGCTCCCCCCCCCTATTTGTTTACTTTGGGACTGCGGGTTAGATTCCCGATAGATCCCCCTGTCTTTTTACTTTGGGACTGCGGGTTCGATTCCCAATAGATCCCCTGCATATTTACTTTGGGACTGCGGGTTAGAATCCCGATAGATCCCCCCTGCACATTGATAGCTGGACTACGGGACGGTATCCCGGAGATCCTTCGGATATATAGATGTGATGGACTACGGGACGGTATCCTGGGAGATCCACTGAACGGTTGAGAAAAGGACTACAGGACGGTATCCTGGGAGATCTTCATTGTTACCATTGGTATTGAACTGTACATATTTCGTGTTTACCCGTTCCTTGTGCAATTGTTATTGCTTTGTTTAGCCTGTCTTATTCCATTGCTGTACTCATTATTAATGCCTGTTTTCATACTGTTAATTCATATTATATTGTTTAACCTCAGTAGGGCCCTGACCTTCCTCATCACTACCCAACCAAGGTTAGGCTTGGCACTTACTGAGTACCGCTGTGGTGTACTCATGCCCCTTCTGTGCATGTTTTTCATGTGCAGATCCAAGTAGCTCTACCCAGGCGTATCACTCTCGAGGCGGAGAGATCTAGCAGAGACTTCGAGGTACATCACCGCGTCCGCAAACCAGGAGTCTCTATCTTATTCTAGCTTTAGCAGTTAGCTTTTCCTTTCGTACTTTTGCCTTAGACATTCTGGAGATTAGAGCATTTACAGTACTTCTTCTAGCTTGTGTTCCCGTGAGTTTTCGGGTTTTGAGATGATATTGTAGACTTCCGCATTATTGGGTTGTATATGCCGGGCGGCATTTATATACAGTTACCCTTCTAGTTTGTTTAGTTTAATTATTTGTTTCCGTAAGTGATGTTATTTCCGCACCGTTAGGCTTACCTAGTCGTAGGGACTAGGTGCCATCACGACATGTTCACGGAGGGCGAACTGGGGTCGTGACACGAAACTACTTGCTACTGCAAAGAACTATTAGATACTTCTACCGTTAATTGTAATCGTTTTTTATCTCTAAATACACCTCATTGTGTGGCTCCGTAGTTTTACAAGAACAAATATTTATATAAATATGAGATTTGTAATATACATATGTACATAGATATGTGTGAGAAAGGGGATAAGGCGCTAATGGATATTGTAGGTACAGACAGATAACAAAAGTATAATAGTTTTCTCGGGCTAAAGAAGATAAATGACATGCATTAGCCAAGCAACAATCAGAGAATTTTTTTTATCAAATACTTCAAGCATAACACCAATAATTTCTTTACCAAGATTAAAATCACTTTAGTCTATCATACTCGGTCCTAATTGTATGACTTACAGATTCCTGAGAGGCTATACAAAGGAATGCTATTTACATTAGATAGATAAGTAATACGTTCTCCAAAAAATATTAGATAGATAAGTAATGGCAAAGGAAAAACCATATTATAAATGAAATTGTACAAGTACCTTATATTGAACCCAACCATTTAAACAGCAGTGTAGACTTGGTCATCCCTAATTTAATTAGGTTCTCTTTTAATTATTGCTCTAGTTATCAATCCTATATTCCCCTTCTCATCGTTGTTACATATTCCTCATAATCAATATGCTCATCCTGCAAAACATCAACAATGTTAGCATTCAGTTGATCATTTATACACTCTTGGCCTTAATTTTAAATTGTGTAAATCTCATAAGGCAATGCTTTATTGCTTTAGGGTTTACATTTTGAAGGATAAACAGCAGCAATGTCCTCATTTGGTTGCACAAAGAGATAATAAACACAAAGATGTATGCAACACTATGTTCATTGCCAACTAAAAATGTATTCACTCTAATGGAAGTCCAAATTTTTATTTTCTCGTTAATAATGTCTGTAAATTTTGAGGCTTAGCTCTTACCTCTACATCAGAACCTAAAACATTTTTTTAGTATCATAATCCCAAGTATCACATCTTGCCGACATGTTGTTGATATTTTTAGTGCAAAGCAAACATCACCACAATTGCTGCTGCCAGGACTAGTGTGTGAAGAGAATAATACTTAAAATAGCTTAGAATAACATCTTAACCCATAAGCTCAGATATGTACCTTAAGTGTNTTTTTAAGTTATCCAAATAACTACCCAAAGTACTACACTATACTTGTCCGACAATGTTGTTGAGTTATTTTTAGTGTACAAAGACTAAAACACTACTACCACAATTTACGACTCGACTCGACCAGGGACTATAGTGTTAGAAAGAGAAATAAATTACTTAAAAATAGACTTTAGAATAACATCTTAACCCATAAGCTCAGATATGTACCTTAAGTGTTTAGAATCAGCTAATAAAGTTAAATCTTTGTAGAAATAAATCACATAAAGAATTAGTAATTTTCTAGAATCAAATTCAACTATAGGCTATGTTGCTCGGACTCTCCGCAAATGTTGCTGGATGCGTGTCGGATCCTCCAAATGTAATGTATTTTTGGAGGATCTGACACAGAACATACTATAGGTTCTCCAAAGTATCTATTTTATGGGGCAAGTTAAAATAATTTCTCAAAGTTGCTAGTTCTTACAACTTCACTTGTTTGGTCAACTGCCTCTTATGTACCGACTATCCTCAAAGTAATTGATCCAGATTGAAATGAGAAATTAGTTTTTAATTGTGTAATGAAGATGCTTCTGGATTCAACCAAAATTTTCATCTCAAATAAGCAGAAAGAGGTACTCTTTACATATTTTTATTTCATCTAACTTACTTGCAACCTTTTAGATGTGCTTGGTATTTAAACTTCCCATTAGGATAATTTTGCAACTATATTAAGAGCAAGCAGGACTTTTAAGTAGTCCTTTCTCTCACAACAAAACCTAAAAGAAGTTGTGTTTAGACTAAACTTGTACATATGTCTAACTGCGTGGTAGCTGGTGCAGTTATACCTTAGTTTAAGACCTTGTAAAGATCAATTCAATTGCCTTGAAGTAGGGATAAAATTGAGCATCTTCGTGGTGTCACCAGAGGAATATCAGTAACTTAAATATAAATCTGGTAAAATAGTTATTAGTTCATTCGAAGCTTATTCAAAATTGCAACTTATGTGCACTCCAATATGCTGTAAGTGTGAGTCCGTGATGTGGATGTCAGGTATAACAATTTTACAAATGACAAAATCATACTCTTGAGCCCTCCTTTTGGGAAATTCAAATCATGAAGACTTGATTCATCCAAAATCAACTGAATATAGAAGTTCAGATTCACCTCTTGCAGATATTCATCAAATAACTCGGGTGTATTGTTCACTTCTAATTGGAGTTGTTGGCAACAAAGGCATAATGCATGTATAATTTAGGAACAATACTAACATGCATGATAAAGCTGTAGCAAGATATAATTCAATAGCTATAGGGAACTAACATATCCACACATAAATGAAAAAAGTGCAACAAACATACAAAGATTGCACAAACTAACCCTATAAACAGAAAACTCACACCATATACATTTAGACGAAAAGAAAAAGGATAACTCTGTAGAATGTAGGGAAAAAAAAATACATGCACTACACTACACTCACAATCTTACACAGCCCAACACATATACATCAACACTCGCATTTCATTAGAGAACCAACAAAATTCTCTCCCCCTAAATTGAAAACCAATAAGGAGCTTCACCAAAAATAGATGGAGCTCCACTAATCCTCTGAATGGATCTGATGCCAGAAGGCCCAAACCTATGAGCACTACCAAACACCTAACTCGTCTCCTCACCCTCGGTAAAAACAACACAAATATAAGAAAACCATTAGCTAGCTTCTCCCCTAATCAGTGCAGTTAGGTCCAACACCACAAATTAGCAGATAGACTCATCAATTTCTCCTAAATGAAGGAAATGGAGAACAACTTCCCCTGCTGCGTCGCAGAATAATTTTCTCTCAGATGAAACCTATATAAATCATCAGAATATGTATTTGTAATAGCTAAAATGAGGAGATTGATATGATCACACAAAGATCATAGCTCCTTAACTTTATTAGTATTTTGTAGCCGCAGGATGGAACATATTACTAAAAGTGATGAATTTATACGCGAATTGAATGGAAGATATAGCAGTAAGCATGAAGATCTTTATATGCTAAATACTATATATAACGTGAGTATAAATAGAGGTTTACTCATGAAATCAGAGAAGAAATTCACATTATGCGTTAAAAATTTAAGGTAAGAGGTTATAATCAAATTCAAAAAGGAAATAATAGACCATAATTATTTCTCACCAAGCAACTTTTCTCGAAGCATCTCCAAAGCAATGGATATATGAAAAGAAGAAACCTTGTTGCACAGTCTGTTTGAGCAACATGTGTGGTGTATACCAACATATAGTATTTCGGGATATTTAAAATTATATTGACAACCGAATGTTAAAAGAGTGCAGAGTAAAAACAAATTACTCGATTAAGAGAGAAACATTCGTTGGTAAAAATCCAGCATGAAATCTCATAGCTGTAAGAAAAATTGCCCTTCACAAAACAATCACTATACACCTATGAATATTACCAACAAAAAAAAAAATTCTAACAGAACCAAAACTAATTGCAACTTCATGAATCATGGTCCATTTAATATCATTTAACCATCCATATGTAGAAGTTTAAAAATTATTTCCCCGACACCTAAAGCTTTAACAAAAATGAGCTTTAGTTTCTTTTTTTGTTCTTGAAAAATAATCCTCAGCCCAAAGTTCTCGTATTATTCATTAATAATTCGAACCTACGCAGCCAGCTCCAAAAATGCAAGTTAACTCATGTGGCAAAATTTAATTCTGACGATGTGCAGTATATGAAAAAACAGAAACCATCGGCCAATAATTTTACCCAAATTATGCACTTCTAGTCAAATAGAACCTGTAATGGGAAAGAAATTCTAAAATAGCATATAGTGAGAAAACCAAAAGACGCAACAGATGAAACAATAAAACCTAACAGTGCCAGAGAAGAGCCAAAGAGATAACCAAAACAGAAAAGAAATTACTATAAAGTTTTTCCACAAAGAGCATAGATAATCGCGATAAGAATGTTGAAAAGAGTATGTAAACACACTTACTCTGTTTTCTCTATAGAAATTTTCTGGTTTGCTGGCATAACATAAAGTAATCATCCTTGAGAATTGAATTGTCCAGCTCTGTTAATAGCCAAATGCCTTGGAGCAAATAATGGTGAGCACGTAAGCAAATTTGATAGCAGATTCTGCAATGACCTTTATTGGTGGCAAAAGTACACATGGTAGAACCCCTAGCTTCTTCATTCGTGTATTTCACCAACACCAGCAACTATATTCAATCCTATAAAAAGAGTATATACTCGCTTACTTCAAATAAATTGGTGATTAACGGTGTTAGGCTCAAAAGATACTAATTACTTTGTAAACGAATACAATCAAAATGAATCAAAGATAAATCGTAATCGAGTATAATTAGACCTAGAAATATGTATTATGCTTGTGATTGTTTCAACAACTTGGATATTCGGGAGAGCGTAAGAGAAAGCTTGTTGGGAGAGAGAGAGAAAATAGAAAGAAAAGAGAGCTTATTATTGAAAAGATCTCCACTTTACAACATTGGGATTCTCCTTTATATAAATTGGTGATTAACGGTGAATAGGTTAGAAAGGGGTTATATTTTAATATTCTAACGATTTCTAGTTTGAAACCAATAGGTTCGGCTCGAATGGAATCAAATTAGAGATTGTATTTCTTTATTTGGTCCATCTTGAGAACCTTGTTCGCAATAGTATATAAAATAGATACAAACAACTTCTTAGTCCAAATTATGAACAACTTAGCTTATAATCAACTGAGTTAATTGTAAAAAATTTCTAGCCATACAGAATAAGTCTACACCATAAAAATCAAAGCAACAAATTCAAACTCAAGGCGTCACCATTGACCAAATTACAACAAACTGCTTTGCTGTTGCGCTTTAGAAAAAAGTAAGCTGAAATGTAACTGAAATAGTTCACAGAACATAAGTGCATTACTAACCTTTCATAATTTCTTCTCTATTCTCGTTGAGTTCTTCTTAATACAATTGAGTACTAAGAAATCGACACAAAATAGTCAATAAATATATGCATGTGCAAAATCAATTAACAAAAGTGCATAAGGCTCAATAACTCTACAATAACTTTCCATAAATTTGGGTCTTTTAACCATAGGGTCAGAGATTGTGCAATTTGGACAGAATCAACAAATTTGACACCAAATATTAAATAGAAACCATGCATTTGCAGAATCAATTAAGAAAAGAGCCAAATGCAGTAACTCCAAAATAGCCATTAGAAGTTTGTGTATCTTCTAGAGTCAGAGATGATACGACAAATATCGCCTATAGAATTCGAAGATGAAGACGCAAATCCTCAAAGAAGTTACATGTTCGTCCGAAATACAGTATCGCTAGTTGAATTAAAATTAGAGAGAGAGAGGGAGAGAGAGAAAGGAGTGAGTAGAGTTACGGAAGAGTGGAGCAGTTTCTAGAATGTGCAATTACGAAGGAAGAATGAAATTTAGGTATTCTTGTTCCAAGTTTGACCTAATTATACGTAAAAATTTCTGAATTGTCCTTGGTCGTACTGAAGGACTTCCATTGCTGCTCGCAATCAAATTCCAATCCTGATTATTCCTTCTTAATATGGGTTTTAGACAAGAATGCAAAAACAAAATAATTTCACATCGTATCATATTATGTTGCAAGTCTTGTAGACCTAATGTACTTAACACAAAAAGTGCCTACACTCTTGCAGTTATATTTATCAGCCATAATAAAAAGTTTAACAATTTTGGTATCTGTAAAAGATTTCCGCAACTGCCAACCAAACGACTAGGAAATAAACAAGTGTGCTTACTTTAGTGATTGCATTTCTTGCAATTGAAGGAAGAAAAGGAACTGATTCATGGGAGATATGGAAAATAAATCTTTTGCAAATGAATGCAAAACTTAGCCCAGTATAAATGTTTTCTTTCTTGTCCTTTAACCTGTTATTTCATGTTCAAAGTTCAAACCAACTCTAAGCCTTTAATTTATTTCCGTTTAAACCTAAAAAGTAACAGAAAGAAGAACATGTTCCCTTGAACTCTAAAGATGTAGATACCAGAATTTCTTTTTGCTAAATCTTTGTCATACTTCACACCAAGTGATGTGAATGCAAAAAGATTATTATACGTTCTAATGTATGTTCGGAAGTGTTTGGGCTCCACACTGTTTCCAAGAAATAAATTACGCTTTGTCCCACTGCCACAGCAAAATGCGGGCGGTTCATATTGAAATCTCTTTGCTGAGCAAAGTTTGCAGATTGGAACTTTCTTCAGCGGAGCATAGTTTGAACGCAACTGACCGATAATTGGAGCAGACTTTGTAGTTGGTGTACGACCTATATATTGGAAATAGACCGTTAAAATTAAGGTGAACCATAGGAAACAATTAGTGTTTCAGCAAACAGAAAACCAAACGAACCTCTAGGCATAACTATTTCGGAGTCTTTGTTACGTAGTTCACTGGGTACTGCTGACGTTGAACCTAAGACTAAGTTAGGTGGTCCTAAGATGGCACAAAATGATGGCAAGTAGTGTAAAAGTAAGCGTAGAAGGGGCATGTTCACCTTTTTCATAGATAGAAAGTGGACGCAGTACATCTATTTCGTTACCCATAGCAGAAGGCAGAGGATAATCCTTCCACGTATTAAAAGCTACATCGAAGAGAAAGCGTAGAGGAAGTTGACTATTTAAAATGAGAGATAACTCTGCGAGACAAGGTGAAAGTGATTTTGTACGGAGAATCGTATGTTCTAACCTGGATGCAGAATGTAAGAAGTGTTCGTAGAACATTCAGGTGGATCCATTATTCCAGTCAAGCGATCCACAGTTATTTTCTCAGGAGGTGTGCGTGTCATTGACTCTTGGTATTTAAGTCGACGCTGTAGCAGCAACTTCTGCTTTTTCTCTGCTGACATCGCTTTGTATTTTTCACGTCGGTTGACATTCCTATCCGTTTATGATAGGGGGCGCTTGTTTTTTTGTGTATGATCCATTAGAACCGTAGTACATACTCTTAAATGATACTGCGCGAACTGTCATAGCCTTTTAACATTGTATTAATTTTTATCACCGAGATGCATATCACACGGCAGGAAGTGACAACATTGAGGCTATCTTTGAACAGATATAGTTACCACAAGGAAGAAAATATGGGAGGCGATTCATAATGTCATGGTATGTTTTCAAAAAAGAAGTACGCTTTGACTATTAGTTTTTGCATAAGTGACATTGGAATCAACTGAATACCTCTGGACTTTCAGATCAATTTTTGTACCTATAGGGAGAACAATTAGGATAATTTTTAAGGTTTTTTTCTTCGTATTATAACATCCGCGCAAACATTCATAATGTCATGGTATGTTCTCAAAAAAAAAGTACGCTTTGACTATTAGTTTTGGCATAAGTGACACTGGAATCAACTGAATACCTCTGGACTTTCTGGTCAATTTTTGTACCTATAGGGAGAACAATTAGGATAATTTGTAAGGTTTTTTTCTTCGTATTGTAACATCCGCGCAAAGGTACTTTTCCAAAGGTAAAGCTTCGCTAACTAAGTAGGAAAATCTAACCAAAACATGACCCAAAGTGAAATAAAAGAAAGTGGACACCGTGAGACGACACCAAAAATGAAAAAGCGAATATGTCAAGCCAAAGTTTTTGTTACGCACATAAATCAGTTTACAAACAAAATAATAGTACAAAAGAAAATGATGGACAACAGCAACCATTAGCAGTACAACGGGGATGAGCAACAGCGAATGTGTTAATATGACCCAACGTGTACAAATATACGAAAATAAGATAGTTGGTTACCTTACAGTGCTGAACTTCTTGCAAGTATGTTGGTTATACTGAACTTAAGAGAAACGTCAACAATTCTACAAAAACAAAATACAATTTTAGTCGTGGTCAACATATACAGAACATGTTGGGCATCGAAAATACTCTTAGAAATAATTCCCTACGGAAATTGTAACGTCACTGTCTCAAATGTAATGGTACAACGAAGAAAAAAGGTTGTCGGTGTGTGCTACTGGGTTATTCCATTAGTTTATGATGTGGACTGATTAACCGATCAAAATAACATGTAATTCACCAATTTTCATCGGAGAACCTTTCAGGATTTAAAAAAAGAAAATTTCTTACAGATTTTGCAACAGTCTATTATCGAAGCAAACATTAAAAAATAATTATGGTCCAATTCATCTCCATAGGGTGAAAGCAATTTGTTTCCCCTTTCTCTCCCTTATTTTTTTGTGCTCTAATAGATAATAATCACTAAAAATATCATTCTGGCACATTAACAGGCACATAAAATAGGCCGAGTTGTCTGACAAAATAAGGAATTTTTCCTAAATTCATTATCTCGTATATTCATTCTCTCAATGCAGTGCTTTCTTCTTACACTTGGAGAACTTATGATGCACTAATTTACTTTAAATTATTTCCCGCTCTAGGTTAGGAAGGCTATCAGTACTTCATATGACTCTTCCAAGATACAATGATGCAAAAAAACCAAATGTAGTTACATACCCCCACCCAGTATCCTCGTAATATAGATCACAAAGGCTAAATTTCCGTTGTTTATTCAGTAGATCCAAATTTAACAGGTCGACATCAGGCTTTCTCCAGGAACATGCTTGGAATCTTGGAGCCATTCAGTTGGAGATAAGTTATTTTTCATTTCCTTCTAACACATCCTATAATACAACACCCAAATAAAAGATCATGGTAAAATAATATGATTTTTCCAGCAAGATTTTGGTACCGTACCTTGGTTATAAGGAAAAATAACTGAATTAAATCTTTGTTTCTAGAAAAAATCAATTACCAAATGTTCTGAAGGAAAAATTTCAAAATTTTAACAACTCATTTATCTGCATCCATCCGTAAATTTTATGCCATGTTTGTGCCAACCACTTATCTCAACGTTTGTAAAACTTATTCAAGTAAATTTAACATGAAAAGAAAGATGCAAGTTACAAAGTCTTGTTACATTTCCCTATCACTTCATATATTATAGCCTAATTATGCTAACACAACAACAACGCCTTGGAAATTTGCACAGGCATGAATAGACTTACAAACCATACCCAATATCCATCTTTATGTCCCTTCCACAGGCCAACAAAAAAGCTGGTCAGTCATCCTAGACTGCAATTTAACCCAAGAGAAAACAAGGAGGGTGGGGAGACAAACTACCAGTCACATGGTAAATAAGAATTTACTAATATTCTTTTAAACATTATTCCCAGATTTCCCAACAATTATTTATGGTCCAATTGGTGGGCCTTTTGTTTTAATCTTAAAGGGTATACATCACAGTGACGACAACTTAAATATGTATCTTAGTATGAATATTGTTATCTTTTTCAAGTACAAAGTACTAAAGCGTCATACAAGGATACAAAGAGAGAGGGAGGGAGATAACGCGACATGCACCAGAACGAGCAGCTGTGTGCCTAGCTTTAAGTGAATATAGATCTCCACAAGTTTATTGATTAAAGAATAAATTACAGCTCCTTTCTCTCAACATGGTCATATGGGAAAAAGGCTACAAGAGATGAAGATCGCAGCTAATTTTAGATGCTAATCAGAAGATAAAAAGAAAGACGAAAATCAAGCTTATTCATGAATCGTAACTGAAATATTCAAACAAATAGAGAAGCTACTGGACACGCGCCAAGATTTCAGGGAAGTAACATGGTTCACTTAAAAAAGGAAGAATAGAGTAAAACTCACAAGAACTGAAAACATAATTTAGTTCAAAAAAGTGGTACAGCTTCAAGTAGAGTCGTAAAAACAATTTAGTTCAATTTAAATTGTAGTGTGAATTAAATTGAACCCAGGGCTCGAGAGAAGGCTGTGAGTACTTGCACTTTCCCCTCTTTTTGTTTCTCGAATTGCTTTTTTTTTTTCTTTTTCTTTTTTTCTTTTTCACTTCAAAGATCCAATCCTGAAGTAAATTTAGATTTGAAGCTTTATTTGGGATGGCTCAGATAAGGGCAATTTTTGTTTTTGGTTAACTTTTGGTGTACCCATGATATTTCTGTTAGCTATTGAGTGAATATAACTTAAATCAAAAAGAAAAAAAACCTTGGAATAGCTCGAGGTTGCCAATGAAAGAAGCTGGATGTCAACTTCTACGTGCCGAGTTTACTAACTCGGCATGATGCTATTGATTTTCAAATTTGTTATCATTATTAAGATAAAAGTACTGTTTGTCTATTTTATCAAAGGAACACACACAAGTGATTCTTTACTTGTAGAACTTGCTCAATTACATTACCGTTAGAGAATACTTTTCTAGATTCAACTTTCTCCTTTTCCGGCTTTGATTTTGTGTAACCTCAATTACTAAAATTTTAAGTTTTGGTTAATAAAGATGTATCTCATTCAAATGTGACACTGTAAACGTGGGTGTTAAGCTTCTTCGCACTATTATGGAGAGAGCAACTCCTTTTTTTTGGTGGTAATTTCGCTCTGATGTTAGTGTATTGGGAAATATGTAGGAACAGGCCATTTGTTCAATATTTCTTCCAGATACCTCAAAAGCCAGATAAACTAATTAAAATCATTGTATTCTTATAAAGTAGTTTAGTTATGTGATGCATGTTTTGCATTTTTAGAAGGGAGCATCTTCTTTTAAGGAGCTTTCCCTCTCCAAAGGCTTAGGTCTGGTCTTGTATATAGTTGAGTAGCATATTACTTGATGTTGTTTGCCTCATTCGTTGATACTATACATTCAAAATTAAAAAAGGGCTCATTGATATTTCACCCTTGGAAATGCTTCAAAACTTCTGAAAGTCTGTTTGCATGATGAGGATTCTTTCTTTCATCTTTGTTCCAATGTAATAAACACAAAGTTGGTCGGTTAATCATATGTACATTACATACCTTTGTTTATACAAATGACAAAATCTAGAACACCTGAAGCAGCTATTGAAAAGGTGAAGATATATGGCTTTTGATTGATTGATTAAGTCAGAAGGCATGTCACAAGTCTTGGTATTGGCACTCGTCTTTACATGTCCACTTCCACTTTCACAAGGATTATATCGGCCTAAACTTATCATATTGATTTATTTATTTAATCCTGCACTTAATTATTTGATTGCTTGATCACCAATTGAATACTATCTACGAATCTAGAGTTGAACTCGAAAGTAGGAATTCTAGATTGCATATAGGATTGAGTAGAGCAAGTTCTTGAACCTGGGCCTCGGGGAACAGATTCGCGGTTAGGATAGACATATACCTAATTGCCTTACTTGGTTGATTTACAAGAATTATAAATGCGTTCTTGTTGATTCTAATTCCATAGACATATAGGAGTTAGGTTAGCTTGAACAGGCGAGTAAGAACTCGACAGATTCTTATGAGCAATATTAACCCTGTCAACCAATAAACCGAATAAATAATTAGTCAATTTAATTGAAGAATACAATAGGATTGTTAGATAACCCATAACCCTAGATCGTTTTCATTACATTGATATCATAAAAATCTGCTCTTTCTCTGTCCAAAGTTCATTATTTGTTTTTATTTATTTTAATTAGTTTAGAATCAAATACTTCTTAGTTTAATTCTTGTATAGATAATTAGGATAGTCTAATTTAGTTAATAGTTGATCATAAGTCCTCGTGGGTTCGACATCCGACTTTTAGTCACTTTATTACTTGACGACCGCGTATACTTGCGTGTGCGTTTGGCCGCAACAAGTTTTTGGCGCCGTTGCCGGGGACTTAGAAATTAACTATTTTTCTAGATTAGACTTTAAATTTCATCCTTTTTTTGTATATACTTTTATTTTTACAAATATTTGATATTTTTCTCTTAGTGTGTTCCTAGTTCTCTCAGCATGACATTTGGGGATGAAATATACGGAGGTAAGGCTATTGATGAAGACTCTTGGTTGACAAAAGACTTTTATGGCTCGTATTTTTGGTCTTGTCATGGCCTGACTTCTTGGAGGTCTGAATTTGAATATGGGAGTAAGGGTTGGTATTGGTAAGAATATTCACGATTAACGGAATATGAGGAACGACTTTGTCTTCTAACATCGTTGGTGAATGATTGGTCTAAGGAGAGAGATGAACTCACACATAAAATTGATAATTTTGGCTTAGTTGTACATAACTTAGATGCAGATTAAAACAAATCATTCTTAGTAAAGTGTGATTAAAACAAACCATTCTTCTCAAATGTCTTTATTCTTCCTTCAAAATATTCAAGAAAGTGTTTTGAAAGGACATTAACATTAACCCCCTGACACGGTAGTGAACCATCTAATGAATCTTCATTCCGTTTGAACACCTCTTATTCCTTAATCAACAGCAATAACAATAAATATACTTGTTCCCAAGCTAGTCGGGACGACTATATGAATCTTCTTGGACACTTCTTATTCCTTAAGACAGAAGAAAAATAGTTGAATCTAAAATTCATCATTAGTAAATATTTTCTACCATTCTATTAGAGGAACTAAAAATCATTCATAGAAGAATTACTCTGTGATAATCAAGAATTGTTCTGTTCACGATAAGATAAAGTAATTTAAAATTTAAAATTAAATCCCTCTATCCCAAAAGAACAACATATTTTGGAGTATGAATAACAATGCATCTATGTGTCTGTTCCAACTAAAGGTGGTTGTAATTTCCTAGCTTTTCTTCTTCACAACTTATGTTTCTTCTATAGTGATAGCGACCTAATAAATGATCTGCGCATTAACAGACTGCTTTGCTAACAGCTCTGTGAGAGAATATATAGCGACACGCAAATGTGTAGCAAACAACAAAACTATCTTTGTTTGGATACTTTATCGAAAAAGCTGATTAAATTTGCAACACTAAGCAACTTTGGGGAAG